TACCATGCTTTTGACATATACGAGTAGATCAGAATGGTTGTGGTGGGAAACAAACCGAAAAAAATACTGGTTAAAATTGTTCGTGTACACGAGAGAAGAATTCGAGAAGAGGGATGTAGACAGGGTGCATAGTCCTACGAGACGACGAATCGTCTTAGCTGGCCGTCTGGTTGACGTCTATATATGTACATGCCACTTACCAAATCAGATTGTCGCACTTGTCGTTCCGTCCCCTTCTCACAAGCCCATTACATAATTCAGGTAATCCGTTTGCAGAAAGGAGTCTAAACTTTGTGTCCGTTCGAGGGCGCACTCAAGCAGGGATTCGGGCAGTGTATTTATAAGGAAGTGTAATTCTACATGCGACGGGGGAGCAGTGAGACTTGGAGCACTCCGACAAGCCTTAAACTCCTCGCCTGCGGACTTTTGAGGGTCAGTGTTACCGCTAATGTCCTTCGAGACATCAGTGCTGCTCTTTGAGGCATCATGACTGTCAGAAAAACAGTTGACTTTATCAGACGCCCCGTTAGTTAAGCTGCTGCTGGAACTGAGCTTTGAGGGGTCCAAGGCCTGATTACACAGGCTGTCGGAGATTGAACTGGCTTCGCTGGTGTTGGGTACCTCCGAATGAGACGGCCGCGAAGGTGGCGGCGGCGGCATAAAGGAGTCTGTCGAGTCGACAGACGCAACACCGCGGGATGCGGGATTTGATGGTAGTTGCGGTGGTGGTGGTTTTGCGAACTGGGAGGCAGTTCCGGTCTCAGAGGTTTCCCTCAGGGAGGGAGCGGAGGTGGAAAAGTAGGAGTTATTTACAGGGTAATGGGCGGCGGCGGTGCAGGAGATGTTATTATTCAACGAGACTGCACAGCCCGTATGTGGAGTGCCACAGGGTGACAGATAATCGGTGGTGGACTTCTGAGAGAGTGGAGCAGTTAAAAGCTCCGAGCAGCCCAAACCAGTAGCAGGCTTTGACGGAGACGGTGCGTAACTAGGAGCGCCAGCTTCTGTAGAAGGTGTGCTGGCTGAGTTGCGTCGAGCGACGGAGGTTGGACAGGGTGCCGCGGCGTGTTCACTGTCACGACCGGGCACACCAAACTGCTGCTGTTGCTGAACGGACTGGCCGGCGACGGAGCGTGAGACCGGAGTACACCCAGCGCTGGCAACCCTCCGCTGCTCTGGGGTGCAATTATGATTCGGCGGGATTGGAGAATTCTGCTGGGGCGTCGTTTCTGGCAAACAGGGAAATGAAGGACCAATTGAGCTTCGAACATTACCAAGACACGGGACAAACATAATCAAAGCCGTTTAAATCTGCCTCCGGCAACAGCCCGCAAAACGAATGGTCTGAGAGTCTTACCAGCATTCCACTTCTCCCTCGGAGGGGTCATTTCGGCCTGTAGATGAACTGACGAGGGGCCGTTCACTGAGGGTGAGTGACCAGCCTGGCTACCCACAGAAGACGGTGGTAGGGTGGAAGAAAAGGCAGGCGGAACGGGAGAAGCATGGCTGCCGAACCTTTTAGCGGGAGTGACTGTCTCGCCGTCGGCACCAGTGGGGAATTTGGACTCCGATTGTGCAACATCGTCGAAGGTTCGTT